CGTCTGATGATATCTCAGATCTCATGGCCCCCGTTCTTCTTTCAGTGCGTTCCTTGCCTCCGCCTCGTCCGCGAACATGCCTCGCGCCATGATTTCCGAACCACCCTTTGATCGGCGGCGGGACTTCGTTCGCAGAAGCCCTCGCGCCTTCTGAGAAGTTTTCCGCGTCTTCGGGGAAGGCTTAGAAAACTGCTGAGAAGGCGTGGGGACTTCCGAGCCTTCTGAGAGGGTTTTCTCTTTATTACTTCCCCCCCGGGCTCGCCGCCGATTTGAGACGCCCCCCTGTGGTCGCTTCCGAGCACCAGGGCGTCTTCTCTTCGCTGGCCTCGCTTCTCGGCCTCCTGGGGCTCTCACTGGGGCCCGCGGGGCCGTCAGCGAAGCGACCTGCAGGATGAAGAGCGTCCTGAGGGAAGGGGTCCTGAGGGATGGGGTCCTGAGGATAGGAAGGGATCAAGCGGTGGATTTACATTGTTCGAGGCACCTCGCCCTTAGGTCCCCCTCCCTCAGGACCCCACCTGTGAACCACCGAGTGACTTCCTGGGGACCCCGCGTTGGAAAAAGCAGGGCGCGGGATGTCTGGGGATGGCTCTCCCGCTCCTGGGGCGGCCCAGGCGGGGACGCAAGGGGAGAGGCGTGGTCGCAGAGAGGGGGCAGAGAGGTATGTCGGCTACATGCAGCAGGGAGGGCCCGTTCCAGCCGCAGAGCCCCGAGGCACCCTGCGAAGCTCAGAGTCGACGAAGCGTGGGCCCCTGGACAAGCAAAGGGCTAGCAAGGGAGACAAGAAGCGTGGCCTCGATCTCGACTCGACTCGACTCGATCTCGACGTCCGTGCGGATGTGGCTCCATCGGGCGCGCGTTTCGATCCGACCTGGTTTCCGGATTCGAGGTTGAACCCCACGCCTTCAGATCGAGGCGTGGGCTCCTTCTTGCCAGGAGGCAGGAGGAGGAGGAGGAGGAGGAGGAGGAGGACGAGGACAAGGAGGAGGAGGAAAAGGAGGAGGAGGAGGAGGACGAGGAGGAGGAGGATGAGGGGAGGAGGACGCGAAGGAAGGGGATTGGGACAGGTGCTAATCAGTTTTATTACTTTTTTAGGACAAATAATATGATATTCATTATTCTGATTATTGAGTAGGAGGTTATGTAGTATTATTATTAGTATATGATCTTATTTGATTATTAGTATGTGATTATTATTACTTTTGTGATTCTTAGGGAGGAGGTATGTTAGTCTTACGGATTATTTATTGAGTTTGGAGCGAGGAGAAAGAGGGAGGGAGGATGAGGAGGGAGGAGGGAGGAGGGAGGAGGGAGGAGGAGGGAGGAGGGATGATGATGATGACGATGATGGTGGTGATGGTTGTGGTGATGGCGACGATGATGCTGATGATGGTGATGATGATGATGATGATGATGATGATGATGATGATGATGATGTTGATGCTGATGACGATGATGATTGTTGACGACGACGATTATGACGATGATGGTGATGCTGATGATGATTATGAGGACGATGATGATGCTGCGGTTGCTGATGGTGATGACGATGCTCATGCTCATGCCTATGATGATGAGAACGATGATGATGCTGCTGCTGATGATTGATGATGATGATGATGATGATGATGATGATGATGATGCTGATGATGATGATGATGATGATGATGATGATCATGCTGATGCTGATGATGATGCTGCTGATGATGATGTTGATGATGACGATGCTGCTGCTGATGATGATGATGATGGTGGTGGTGGTGATGACGACGATGCTGATGATGCTGCTGCTGATGATGATGACGATGATGATGACGATGCTGATGCTGCTGATGGTGGCGCTGCTGGTTATGCTGATGAGGATGCTGCTGATGATGATAATGCTGATGATGCTGCTGATGATGATGCTGACGATGATCATGGTGGTTATGATGATGATTCTGCTAATGTTGATACTGATGCTGATTACGATGATGATGCTGCTGATGACGATGATGCTGATGACGACGAGGATGACGGTGATGATGCTGATGATGGTGCTGCTGCTGATGATGCCGATGACGACGATGATGCTGATCAGGATGATTATGCTCTGCCGATGATGATGGATGGTGATGCTGATGATAATGATGCTGATGCTGCTGATGATGATGCTGATGCTGCTGATGATGATGCTGATGATGATGATGCTGATGATGATGATAGGCCAGCCCCTTGCTGACGCATGGGCGGCTGGACGGCGGCCTGGGGCCATGTGCACCAAGCCGATCGCGGTCCTCGCTGGCTGCCAGACGGGTCAAACCAGACCCATCCATCTCGTTTAACCGACTCCATCCTCATCCCCATCCAGACCCACACCATTTCAGCACGCCGATTGGCGAGATACTCTTCGAAACCCGGGGGAAACAGCCTATATCTTCATTTAGGGGGGGTGAATCGGCCAGTGGGGCCCAGGTCACGCCCACGGGGATGGGGGCCGATTCAACAATGCTCTGCGCTGGCTTCGGGCGGCCGCTGCTGAAGCATGTATCGATTTTCGTATGTGTTGGTGTGTCTCTATACGTGTGTGCTTATATATCAACAGGTGCATATTTACATATATTTGTATATTAGTGTATGTATGTATGTATGTATGTATGTATGCATGCATGCATGCATGCATGCATGTATGCATGTATGTATGTATGTATGTATGTATGTATGTATGTATGTATGTATGTATGTATGTATGTATGTATGTACGTTTGTATGTGTGTGTGCATGTATGTATGTATGTATGCATGTATGTATGTGTGTATGTATGTATATATGTATATATATATGTATGTATATATGTATGTATGCATGCATGTATGTATGCATGTATGTATGTATGTATGTATGTATGTATGTATGTATGTATGTATGTATGTACGTATGTTTATACATAATATATGTATATAAATATACATATCTATTCGCTGTCTGCTACACTTTCTCCGCCTCGTCGCTGCGCGTGAAGCCGCGATAGCCAAAAGGTGTGTGTGTGTGTCTGCCTGTCTGCCTGCCTGCCTGCCTGCCTGGCTGTCTGACTGCCTGCCTGTCTGTCTGTCTGTCTGTCTGTCTGTCTGTATATGTATATGTATATGTATATGTATATGTATATGTATATGTACATGTATATGTATATGTATATGTATATGTATATGTATATGTATATGTATATGTATATGTATATGTATATGTATATGTATATGTATCTGTATATGTATATGTATATGTATATGTATATGTAAATGCATATGTATATGTATATGTATATGAATATGTATATACGTATTTGTATATGTATATGTATTTGTATATGTATATATATATATATATATATACAAGACTGCAGTGGCGCTTCGCGCCATGCACCTTGGTCCTTGAAGATTGCTATGCAGGCGGACAAGGCAGGAAGGTCAAGCGGACACTTTAACGATAACTCCTTGCTGCCTTTTCTGGCATCGCCGTTATAATAATGTTGTTCGTTATCCTTCATCCATGCGTATTTTTCCTCATTCTCGCCATACCCTGGGCATTCCCCCCATCCTCCTCAGCTCTTTTTGCGGAGGCTCCTCCTTGGAGAGCCTCTGGGAGCCTCACCAAAGTTCTCAAGCTTTCTTAAAGCCTTCTGGAGGCCTCCTGGGCGTGTTCTGGGGGCCTCTGGGGCTTCCTAAGGCCAACCTGCCTCTAACCGCGGTCTCCCTGAACGCCCTGGTCACGATTTGGAATGCTTCGGAGGATGTCTTGGGGCCATCTTGGGCCGCCATGGGGCTCTCTTAGGGCCATTTTGGACCCCTGGTGTGCCGTTTTGGGGCTCTCTTGGGCTGCCTGGAAGCCCTTTCGGATGGCTGTGGGGCGATTTTGGAGCCTCCCAGGCGACTTCGGACGCCGAGAAGACCGCTGTCTTGGAGCGTCGGGAAGCCGAAAAGAGGAGAACCCCAGATTCACCAAAAACCTACATTAAATCCATGATTTTCCCTCTTGGGGCCTTCTTGGGGGTGCTCTTGGAGGCCTCTTGGTACGTTTTGGAGCGATCTTTCGGGGTATGACGGCTTCTTGGAGCGCTCTTGTGCTGTCTTAGCGTTCTCCGGGACGTCTCCGATGACCCCCCTGATCGCCCTAGGTGTGCTGCGAAGACTTGGCAAAACGCCCTGCGAGGTCCGGGGGGCCGCTTCGAGGCCCGTCCGAAGGGTCCCAAAGCCTCAGATCCCGGGAGTCCGATTTTTTTTTGGGGGGGGTGACGGGTTTTCCCCCCGCCCGGGCTTGTAAAGATATAGGAAGAGGAATATGTCTATGTATGCATGCCGCTATATGCCCCTGTATACGTGCATGCACATCCCCATATGCATGCATTCATGCATGCATGCGTGCATGCATGCATGTGTGTATGCATGCATGTGTGTATGCATGTATGTGTGTATGCTGTACGTTTCTTTGCTTGTTTGCCTGATTTGTGTTTGTTTGTTTGTTTGTTCGTTTGTTGTTTGGTTGCATGTATGTATGTATGTATGTATGTATGTATGTATGTATGTATGTATGTATGCATGCATGCATGCATGCATGTTTGTATATCGGTGTGTACGTTTGCACCTGGGTATGTATGTATGTATATATGTATTGTAACGTACTGTATTATAATACACTGTAGTGTAATGCAGGGTAATGTATTGTCAAGTTATGCAATGCAATGCAATGCACTGTAATGTAATGCAATGTAATGTCATGTAATGTAATGTAATGTAATGTAATGCAATGCAATGTGCTGCGCTGTAAAGCAATGTAATGCAGTATACTGTAAGGTTTGTGTATTGTGTGCATACATGCATGCATGCCTGTTTGTATGCATGTATGCATGCACGCATGCATGTATGTAATGCATTCAGGTATGTATGTATTAAGTATGTATAGATGTCTGTCTGTCTGTCTGTGTCTGTCTGTCTGTCTGTCTGTCTGTCTGTCTGTCTGTCTGTCTGTCTGTCTGTCTGTCTGTCTGTCTGTCTGTCTGTGTGTGTGGATGTCATGGCTGGGGCCATGCAATCTCCCAGACTACATGGCCCCGCTTCTTCTTTCCCTGGTCACCCCCTCGTTCGCGCTACCACCCCTCTTCCTGCCCCCTTCCCTTCGGTCCACCCGATCTTTGTGGGGGTGCAGCTGGGAAGTTACGATGATCCTTAGGACGCGTGTGAGCTCAGAGTGTGTGTGTGTGTTGTCTCGTTCAGCTCCACCGATAGCACGCAGTCTGTGTTGGTCCTCATTGCACAGCCTGCGTCATGTTGAAGGGCTTCGGTGAGCAAACACGAGTTGGGGCTGACATACGCTTTCCAGATCATCGACAGCCGCCGTACGTGTGCGCCTTGAGACTCGAGATCCTGGATGTCTTCAGGCCCTGGGCTTGCCTCTGAGGGCAAGCCTGGGCCTCGGGAGCCTCAAGAAGGGCCCTAGCGTGCCCCGGGTGCTCCAGGGCCCAGCGAGGGCGTCCTTGGAACGTGAGGACCCATGTCGCTGATGTAGAACGTGGGTATGGGTTGTCCGCGTGCTGTTTCTTTTTTTGATTCGGCGTCGCGTTGCCGCGCAAATCCAGGGGGGGGGGCTTGAGGGGCGGCGGGGGGTGGCTTGGTCGGGTAGCAAATCATGGGAGCCTCGTATGTCCTCAGCGCATTCGCATGCGCTAGCGTCTGGTCATCGATGATAGAGCACCGATTTAGCGTCGATGAGGCGTCGATTGGCGTCGATTCGCGTCGATTCGAAAGAGCCAGCAAGACGGCATGGGAGGCTCCCGCGAGTTGCCACCGAAGCTTGAGGCTCGTGGGGGCGGGCTGGTGAGCGTTCCCGCCAGTGGCTTCGACCCCCTCTGCTTCTTCAGGACGCCAACGGGCTCCGCGCATGCAGGTCCCGGTGCGCTGGGGACCGGCTGCCCTGCAGGGTGGCCAAACTGGCCAACATGATACGCGAGAGGCGTGCGCCCTTCTGCCCGACCCCAGCAGAGGAGATTTTGCCGGCTTCCGATTTCGTGTGCTGTTTGCTGCGGTGGCGCGCCGTCTTCGGTGCCCGAGGCCACCTGCGCGCCCCTCGCCTGTCAACTCTCGACGGTCGGATCTCTTCCTCTTCCTTTCTCCGCGGCCGCCTCCCTCCCCCCCTTCTGCGCGTGGCTGAAGGGACCCGTCCGCAATCTGAACAAAGAGCGCGTTCAGAGTGTGCCGCCTGCGGCAGGCTACAGTCAACCCACGTAAGAAGCATGGGCAACCTTCCCAAGGGCACCCTTGCATCCTTGCCTCCTCGACCCATCCTTGGCCGCTTCCGTGGCCGCGCCCCGCCCGCGAAGCGTCGACACGGTCTTCCAAGGCCCTTGCATCCTTACACCACCCATCCTTACCAGGCGGGTTTGACTGTATTTCGCCACTTTCGTTGGCCGCGCCCCGCTCGAAAGCTTCGAAGTGGGCGTCCAAGGCCCCTGCATCCTTACCGTGCGTCCTTATGATACGGGCCGACTGTATTCTGCACCGCCTGCTCGCCTGTCTGGCAAGCAGGCGCTTCGACCCTCAGCGGTCGGGTGTTTCTTTCCCGCCCGCCGTGTTCGCCGCCCCCCGCGGTCGGCGCGCACTCCGCGCCGTCAGCGCTTTCCCGCGCCTTCGCCCCCCACTGCGCTGCCGACAACACAGGTCGTCGTGCTGCCTTCGTCTTGCTGCTTGCGTGCAGCCTCTGCCGACTTGTCCGAGGCGGGAAGTTATACATGACTGCCATCTGGAGGATCGATTATCGGGGACCTTGGGAGGCTGTGGATATGGATATATTCGGGCCCCCGGGGCCAACATATATCCATATCCACCGCCCGCTGGGGCACCAGGACGTCTGTTCCCAGGCGGTGGATATGTAGAGATCCCGGCCTCGCAACTTGTCCTCCCCTTCCTGCAGCTTTTGCCGTGCAGCTGCGTGCAGCTTTTGAAGACGTTCCCCCTCCTCTGCCTGCAGCTTTTGCCGACTTGTCCTCTTCCTGCGCCAGTTTTTGCGTGCAGTTTTTGCCGTCTGTCGTGGGGACTCTTGCAGGCCTCTTGGATGCTCCCTCTTAGGGCGGCCTCTTGGGGGCCAAACTGCTAAGGGGCCTGGACGTGCACCAGCGCGACATAGCGCCGCGGCGGACACATGCTTTGGCTGCTGGCTCGCCCGCTCCGTCGGAAGCGTTGTCGCGCTCTCGTCACTCAGAAGTGCCACGATCTCCCAATAAATTGCACGCTCGCCCGATACCTTGAGGGCGGGGGATGTGCTACGAG